ACAGGAACCAAGCAGGCCACTCTAAATTTGTATTTTAATAACACTTTTAGAGCCAAATAATATAGAAAACTGTTATTTGGTACAACGCGACCATGCTCCGGGTTTTCCTAGTAATCTCCGCCTTGTTTCGTGTAAAAATGACCCACATCTCAGATTAACGATATTCTGAGATTAACGATCAGAACTGGCATGATTGACTTGATCATTAATTGGAGATCTGACTGTATCATGTTAGAGTGGATTTAGCGTACATAATGTAAATAAAAAAAGATACCTATCCGAACCCTAAAGTTGTCTGGTCTTGTGTGACCACACCTTAGCTACACTACGCTGTTGTTCCATCGTTCCTTCCTTTTTCTATGTTCATTATGTGAATCTAACTTTAACCTAACGGACTCTAGCGTGACGGCGGCGTTTAAGTCTTCTACACGGGCCACCGGTTCCTTCGGAGCATACCGGTTGTTCGTTCTTCCGCGATTGCCGGCTCGTCTCTTTTTCCTTTTGTCTTTTTCAATCTCCCAGGCCGACTAGGAACCATCATGGTTGACATGTAGAAAGGTGGATATAGTCAGGACACAATGTTGCAGTGGAAAAAAATTACAATAGCAAAAGACGGCCACTGATGCAAATGCTAAACCAAAGAACATATTTATGAACCGCTATGAGTTTGGAACTACACCTCTCCGGCTGCCTTTGGAGCTCATCACCTGACAGGTGTATATCAATATCCTTCGAACCGCTGGAACTCTTAAAGCTTCCAGCAACATAATCAAGAGGTACCGACATCAAAGTAAGAACTCGGCTAGAAGGGACACAAGCAAACCACTGAGTGACGGCGTACCCGTACCCTGTTAACATACAGTTAACTTATGCAAACAGGGGGACGAAATTTGTCCTCCACAGACGGAAGAGCACAGCATGAAGAAAATAGCTCCGAGATACGAGCCACTGTGTTACGCTGATGAAATTTTCGAAGCAATGAGAGGGACTGTTTGTAATTCGCTAGGCTTAAATAAAAAGCGGAAAACGTTTGTGTAGCAGCAGCAGCAGCAGCAGCAGCTCGTCATATCAGCCAGCATTGTCACTCCGTTATGTGTGTGTGGTTCACCAGTGGAAATATTTCTGGTTGGAGGGAAATCGTATAGAGTTTGGACAGAACACTTTGTGTGTTTATTGGAGTTCGTGTGTTTGCGGAACACTGTCACAGCAGGATGTATGTACGTTACATATATCGCTTAGAGAAACTCGGTTAGCCTTGGATTAGCTTTACGTTCCCACCACGTGGATGTTGAAGGAGTTCCAGTCGCGTTCAGTGGTGGCTGCTCGTGGGCTGGCTGCATGGAATGTCGTCGGAGTCTAGAAGACATGAACAATTTTGGAGAGATAAGGAAAGATGAGGATGATAGAAGCGGATGCACCAAGGTCCAAACTCTACTCCTGATTTCCGGCTGAACCGTAGCCACGTGGTTGAGCGACTGAACTTGAGCCCCGTAGTCAAAGTCTGCTGAAGAAACCTGACCATCACGAGTATTTCGGTGGAGCGAACATGTAGAGGCAGGGTTAAATAATAAGAGACTTACCGGTTAGGCACATCTTGCCATGACCTCCACAAATATCCAGTCCATTCACCCTTGTACTCGCAGCTTTGCTCCCCGCCGGCTAGGGTCACAGTAACACCACATATCGGGAGCTTCTCCGAACAGCCATAGGGGGAGTCAAGTTACCTTGGACAGACCAGACAGACAAGCAACACGGCCGGGGCGGCCGATCTCTCCCGGTGCAATGGGACAGAACCGCTCGCGTGGCTGACCATGGCCATGGCTACACGACCAGGCTTGCATCTCCTCCAGGGAACCCCTGGCATTAGACTGGTCATGCGAAAAGGTAGCAGTGTACGGCTCGGGTTACAGCACAGTTTGTCACTGGTCGTACCTACCTTTACACAGTAAGTATATTGGATATCATGTAGAGTCGGAAGGTCACACATACATACAAACTGTGCGGTAAACCTGGAGAAATACAACCGATACGATTTCAGGACAGGGAACTCACTGGGTGTCAACATATGACATGAGCTTTCCCCCTCGCGCTGAGGATGCAAATGCTCCCAAAGAATAAGAAATTAACATAGTTGGTCTGAATAGACCTGGAAGTCTGGAATCTCGAAATGAAGGTCAGGAGAAGACAACTTCAAAGGTATGGGAAAAAATAACCGGGAAGCAACTTCCACGACGCGAAACAACTAGTCCATGTAAGTATCCAACTACCTAGCCTTTGGTTGTTAACGCCTCATATATTAGCCAGGAACCTGGGTAACTTTCAGTTCTTGTGCGGAGTATGAAGAGTGAAACCTTGCGTTCAAATTGAAATCCGGTCCGAAACAATAGCAGTCCCCGTCACTTGCGGTTAAGGATGCCCACAGGTGGAGACCGGTGATGGCGCTAAACGCGCGGTTGAGGTCGGGTGTTTGACGGGGAAATTTCAGCCCTAGGATGGCACTAAGCCCTACGCCATTCCGCCTGTTGTTACAGGTGAGTTCCAGGGGCACTGTATTTTAGTCTCCCCCACTCGCGTCCTTCCAGGTTTTGCTGACTGGACCACAACGCCGCAAGAACAACCTCATAAGTGAAACTCTCAGTCTGTCGATCAAGACAAAATTATCCTGAGAGGAAAGGTCCAGAGGAATCTACCTCGGGCGAGCAGAATATGCGTTTTCGCAAGCGAGTGTTGCAAAATCAGGCGTTCCCCTATGCTTTCCAAGACTCCTACCCTGCACATCAAAGTGAGGAGTTCCAGCCCCGACTCTCGTTGTTGATCTGGCTTCGATAAACCTTAAGTGTGTGTGGATCGACTGGAGACGACCAGCAGCGAGGCGATAAGGCCATAGTACTGACTGGAAATAAACGTGTGTCCGTGATGTCGTCCTCTCTCGAAAGTTTGGTGGCAAGGATGCCATGGTTGACATTCAGGCTTCTTTGCCTCCCCTTAGGTCGCCCGCTCGTCCAGTTGTTGAAGCATTGAAAGATGTCAAACTTGTTTGGACCAAAGTGGAAAGCGCAGAAGATGATGCGCAAGCACTTTCCGGCCGGGGTTCATGGAGTCGGCAGGCAGTAATGGCGGCCCCACTTCGTCATCATTCAGCCAATCATCGGACTTGCCGAATATGTCACTTCAATATCAGACCTAGACTCATCCTCAACAAGTCAACAAGTCCAGACTTCCAGCGAAGTTGGATCTCGCGCCATTCCATCCACCAACATGAGCTCTACCGCCAGAGATGATGAAGGGGACAATGACATGCCACCGCTGGCGCAGTCAAGCAGCGGCCCGATCATGGAGATGTTTTCTTACTACTATCCCTCCCCCGGGACTTCATCGTGGGCCATGACGACATGGCCATAACCACCAACGAAAGCCTTCTCGGTTTCCGCGACATACCCACAGGCACTCATTTTCTGTGGGTTCAGCAACCCGGCGCCACATCCCGGAACGGATACTGGTATGTCACCCAGGAACAGAACGGCCGAGTGCACGTTAAGCAATGGGACCAGTACAACGAAGTCCTCTCCAGCCTCCCGAATCAGGCCGAGGAACGACGTCAGGCTGAGAACCTTGAGTCCGTATACCCCAAGCTGAAGCCATACGACATGCGTGGTGCTTCCAAGAGTTCTGCCAGAGCCTTGCAGCCGATGCCGTTCTCGATTGGTGGCCGGAACGAGTCATCGTTCACCACAGACCCAGCCAAGATGTGGCAGCAGCTAACCCACGCCATATCCGAGCCATTCCTGGCCCGAATCACTGGCAAGAAATCAGTCGACGCCTGGCTCGTCGACTCGGCCGACTGTGCAGTCGGGGAATTATATCGAGCCCAGTACAAGTCGGTGCAGTCCAGCGAGTTCAACTTTCTCTTCGCCCAAGACTTCAAAGATCTCGAACTTCTGGACTCCGACCCAACCAGAAGGGACGTCGTCGAGGACACCACCGACCGAGTGTTGGCTCTCCTTCGGAGCACCGACTTTAGCTTTGATCCGTATGAGATCATCGCCGAGCTGCAGTTCACGTTCCTGACAGGCACGCATCTGGGCAACCACGCCTGCATGGAGCAGTGGTGGGATCTCGTGCTCAAGATCATCGTGCGCGCGTACCGTCTCGTTCTCTTCTACCCGGTCCTCACCGTTGAACTGATCAGGACACTACATGCGCAGGTTATGTATACGGAGGAATACATCGAGTCCACCTCGGAAGAAGAGCAGGAGAAGGGCCGCAGTGAGCATACCATTGGGCCGAGCCCGGATAGACCCATATATCTGTTCAACCTCCAGAACAGGCGGTGGTTGAGGACGGCGCTGGCTACGTACGCCAGGAAGCTTGAAGAGGTGTTGAACGGGTTGGGCGATGCTGTTACTATAGAGCAGTCGACCGCGAGGGCCATCTTTGGGGAACTCGAGGCGTGGTTGTTTACTCGTGGATGGGACCTGGGGTCATCCAAGCATGCGAAGGCAGAGGAGGATAAACGGAAGGATGAGATAGGCGAGGATGATGACGACGATGATGATATGCCAGTCGTGGTTGATTTGGATGAGCACGGAAGGGAGGTTGGATTGGTTTCGTTTAATGACTGAGGAGGTGACGTGCGGTAGGGTTGTTTGGTCATATGGATAAGTGATCACTACCATCGCATAGACTTGGGAGGTACAGGTGATGAAAAGTGAAAGAGATTAATTGCGCATTCAAAGAAACGTGAGACTTGATGATTTTGTTCTAGACAGCTGCATGCATATGTACGTTAGTGATAAAAGGAGAAGAAGCGTGATGGGCGGAGCTTTGAAATGGCATCACCTGTTTGCCGGCCTTAGTCCATCCCACCGTTCGGAATCATAAAAAGTTGACCATCTCGGAAATCTACATACTTTTCAAGAGCATTGTCACAGACTGTCAGTGTTCAACTTTCAATGTCACGATCCCAGGGCACGGAAGTACTTATCTCTACGTCACGGTGGAACTCCCCTGTCCCGTCGAGGCCGGGGCCGGGGCCGGGGCTCCTCAGCAATGCGCCCCACATGCCACATGCACGCCATCAAATCCACCCGCTTCCCCGGATCCCACTCCGACTTCCACCCAACATCAACCTCACATCTCCGCTTTTGACTTCCATCTTCGTTCCCATTCTCGAGCTTCACTCTCATTGCGACAACAATCTTATACAGCACCTATCCAAACACCGCCTTTGAAATCCCACCCTTCAACGACATATCATCACCGCCCATCTAGTACCTACCTCATACCCGCCCCCCACACCCGATCACACAACAATCGAATAAACCAAGCAACCCTCACAACTCTCACAAACCCAGTCCACCATACACATACTCATACACACTCACCCACCCGATAACCCCCCCCCCCCCCCCCCCCCCCCCAAAATGTCCCACCGCAAAAATAAAGCCGTAGGCCTAGCAGCCTTCGACCGCTCCCGCCTCACCTCAGCCCAATACGCCACGCACGGCTCCGCGCTGCGCACCTCACAGGCCTCGGCACTCGAAACCCAACTCTCCGTCTTCCGCTCCTTACTCCAGCAATTCGCCGCCACGCACGCCAAGGACATTAAGTCCAACCCGACTTTCCGCGCGCAGTTTGCGCGCATGTGCGCGGCTATCGGGGTGGATCCGCTTTTGGCTGGTAGTTCTTCTTCCGAAAGCAGTGGTGGTAAGGGAGGAGGAAATAAAGGGGATAGTATGTGGGCGCAGCTGTTGGGGCGGACGGGGTTGAATGATTTTTATTTCGAGCTGGCGGTTAGGGTGGTGGAGGTTTGTGGGGAGACGAGGGGCGAGAATGGCGGGTTGATTGAGGTGGGTATGGTTAGGGAGAGGGTGGTTAGGGGAAGGGTGGAGGGGATGGGGGTTCAGGGGGTTACTGAGTAGGTTCTCTTTTTTTTGCCCTTTTCTTTTCGGGCTTGCTTTAGAGGAGGAAGAGGAGGAGGTGGAGAAGTGTGACGGATGGATGAATGCGTGGTGCTAACACAGAGAAACAGAGATGATATCCTTCGCGCGGTAGGGACACTCAAGCCTCTCGGTTCGGCGTACTCGGTTATCAAGGTCGGAAGCAAGCAGTATATCCGGTCCGTGCCCAAGGAGCTGAATACCGATCAGAGCGCCGTGCTGGAGGCTGCCCAGGTGTTGGGATACGTCAGCGTGTCCATGTTGATGGACAACCTGCGATGGACGAGAGCACGAGCGCAAACGGCGTTGGAGGATCTCGTGGGCGAGGGGATGCTTTGGGTTGATAAGCAGGGTATCGAGTGGGAGTACTGGAGCCCTGGGTTTATGCTCGAAGGTGATCTCCCGTTGGAAGGGTTTGACTGAGTGAGTGGCGTCTACAAATACCACATCGGCGCGCTAGATGACCACGAAGGGCGCCATCAGTACCAGTACTCCTGCTGGTCCCTGGGGTTGCTTGTCCGACGTTGCAGTGTCCAGACTTCGAGCAACAACGGCTGAGTGCTGTTGTTCTCCATAGTAATGGGAGGTGGAGGGACACATACAACCTCATCCGAGATAGTGGATGCAACAATACCTCGAAAGGCGTCTTGAGCCCAAGTCTACCGTATTCTCGGGATTGCGCTCGCGCCACATCTCGCAGCTTGGCCAACTGTCAGGTGAAAATCGTGGGAGAGAAAGGAACAATAAGCAGCCCGTTACAAAAAAAAAGCATTTCATATCTTGCTTATTGATTCCGACAAGCCCGATCGTCAAACTGGGAGGCTTGAGAGACGAGGGTTTGGATGCTGGAGCGTGAACCCATCATCATAGGATATGAACCTGGCTGGGCTACGATGGGACTTGGCTAAATTGAAGTTGTGCTGTCCATTCCGGTACTGAAACGGATTTCGTCCTCTGATGAGAGCGGAAAGACTGGGCGGTGCTCCCATGGAGGGCGGTACATCTCATCATTCCATCTTTCTTCCTAACCGTTGAGGACTAGTCAAAGACGAAGAGAATAGACATGGACATCATGGTACATATTCATCACAACAAATGCGAGATCTCGGTGAGACAATTAGGTATCCATCTTTAAATAAGCGTACGTAGTAACAGAGAGATAATACATTCACACGCAATATCCAACTTGCTCCGGCTTTTCCCCGCGCCTTACAAAAAGATATCAAAGAAGCCAGTATCCAAAATATCTCGTTTCTTTCTTATTTCTCCTCCCCTCCAGTGTACAACCATTCATCTTCACCTACACAGACTTGTCTCGTCAGGAAATCCGTAGTATTAGTGTCGCTTTATGTGTGTGGCTAGGTTGTACCTGTCTTTGGTGTGCTGGGCCTACCTGGCGGGCTGGCACAAATGTTGGTTTAATGAGCACCCCACTCTCATAGTTGGTATCATATATCAGGGGTAATCCCGGGGTGACGTGTTTACAAGGCAGTCACGATACTTTCGCAGCTTGAACCCGAAGTCCATCACCGTGGCTTAAGCTGGCCGGGTAATGCGTTTGTGCTTAGTAATGGGGGTTCTGGCCGAGAGAAGGGTAGTCCTGAGGAGGCGGGACGGGACCGCCTCCGTGATGGCTGCCGAGAGTAGGGTTGATGGGACGGCCGCCGTGGGAAGGGCCGTGGCCGTGAGGGGGGCTGCTATGGCGTTCACGGTCACCACGATCACGCTCACGCTCGCGATCATGTCTATGGTCGCCGTGAGCACCGTCGCCGAAGTGCTTCCTGCGCAAAGCGGCGAGGCGCTTCTTCTTGGTAACGTAGTTGATATAGGTACCGATGAAGAAGGAGACGAGGTTGAAGAAGGGCATCCAGGCGGCCTCGGGCAGGAACTTCTGGGCAAAGGCCAGGCAGAGGGGCGACGAGAGCCAGCTGACCTTCATGACCTTCCAGAAGCCGACACGTACAGTCGCTTGGACTTGCTTCCAAGTCTTGGCGCCGGCGATGATGGCCATGGCAACAAGGTATACCGAGTTTTGAATCGGGGCAACCTAGACAGGGGAGAAAATAGTGTTAACCAGGCTCATGACATAAGGATTGGGGAACATTGACGCACAATCAAGTTGCTGACAAGGATCTGGAGGATCTTGGCCCTCAAGCTCTTGCGGTTCTGGAACATCTTCTGGAGGATCCAGATGAGGAAATGGCCCAAGGGGGCGCTGACAAGGGCGCCGTAGGTGGCCATCTTGGGGACACGGGCCGTGAAGTAGTTGCCATTCTTGTTGCGGTCCTTAGCGAGCCATGATGCGAGCAGCTCTTGACTACCTGCTAGGGTGCCGGCAGTGAGCATCTTGGTACGGAGGGGGTTGGACTCCAGCTGCTTGAGGTAGGCCTGGGGTGGACGATGAGGTCAGTATCCATTGTCATGATGTCTTCAACCCTTCATAAACGGCCTTCTTCCCCTGTACCTGTTTGACTTCATGGTGCTGCCGTATGAGCGCATCTAGGGAGCGCATATGCAAGAGGGAGTGACGGGATGACGTACAGCCAGATAGCCCTTGGTACCGGCATTTGCCCTGCCGCCGGTGATAGCGGTACCAATGACAGCCGAGATGGGATGGTGGCCCTTGGTACCGGGCAGGTCACCGTGGGCGGCTTCGGCGACAGCCTCGGCGATGGCACCAACAGTGCTGTGGTGGTCTTTTACCGACATGGTGAGAGAGGAAGGTAGCGGCGGTCAAATCGACATCTAATAGGTAATTGGGGATGCGTCAAGCCTGCGGAGGAAGGGCAGTGGTCAGCGAGAGCGCACGGGTATATGGCAGCGGTACCGGTACGGCACTGGCAGGCAGGCACCGATGACAGAAGGAAGATGGATGTTAGTGTGAATCGGCGGGCGCGGACAATTCGCCGGTGATGCGACGGTCGCGCCCGGAGCGGTTGCGACGGATTTCTGTCTGTGATTACGGGGCATCCGGCCGGGGAAGCTGGGAGCTTTCGCTGGAGGTTGGGGCTTTTGGGGGTCTTTCGGAGTGGATAATACGAGCTGCCAATGCTCCGCAATGACGCCCCGTCAGGCCCCTAGCCCGCGCCGTCCGGGCCCGTCACCGACTGTTTGGGACTCCTTCTGTTCGGGTTCCAAAGGACTTCTCTGTGAGCATCAAAAAAAGAGAACAGCAAACTCACCGGCGATGGGATGTACGCAGCAACAGGTGGGGAGGAACAGCAGGACAACGACACGAGTCGACGTCGATTGGGACCGCTAGAACCGGAAGCAAAAAAGAGTGAAAGAGGGTCAGGGTTTGGCAACTGGCGCGATCCGGGGGGTGGTTCGAGGGAAGGGGAAATAGCAAATTGAGAGTCTTGAAGGCCTTTACGAGGAGGTTGGTAAACAGGAGCTGACCAGCCCCAGCTTGCGACCAGCTTGCGCCCAGGTCCCCGGCCCAGGAGCTGACCAGGAGCTGAGGGCTTGCGACTTGCGAGGGTTCTCTCTGCGTTTGGCAGGTCGCGGCCGTGTCGCTCCCAATATCGACCCCCCCGTGGCTCCCCCGGGTGGCTTCCAAGACAGGGACTGGAGCGCTGAGCTGCCCGAGCTCGAGCTCTCAGAGGTCCATCGCGGCTGCACAGCTTTGTTGTGGGGACCTGAAATCTAGGCCTCCCGGGGTCCAACGACGACGTGATTGGCTTGTTTACCCAATCGGCCGAGGTACCATTTCGTTTCCCAGCCCAGAAGAGAAAAGGACCGGGGCCGCACAGATCATGGACCCGCCCCCAGTGTTCGCTAGCGTTCGTCTAAGTGACATCCCTGTCTTGGTGTCCCTTTCTGTCTCTGCGAGTGCTGGCCCACGATGCAGCCTTCCATCGCCAGCCGGCCGTGAACGAGTCTCATTGGTTGTGCGGGACCTTTGACTTTCTTTGCTGCTTCTTTGGGCGCTAGGGCGCTGGGCTCGCCGGGGCCAGGATCTGCTGCCGTCATCGATGCTTTTGTCCCTGTTGGCTCTCGGTTCTCCACAGATCGGAAAGTGTCATGTTCCCCTAAGTCCAAGCGGTCCAAGCCGGCAAATGGCAGGGCAGCAAGGGGAAGAGAAGGCATGACATGCTTTTGAGCCGCATTGGCAGATTGGATATCGACTTTCTTTCTTTCCGTTGGACAGGCCTGCGACGACAAGAGCCCATGCCGTGGGATCGACAACTGATTTCGGGAACCGGAGATTATCTGGAGACAATGCCGTTAGCAGCCAGGAGCGAAAAGGGTGGGATAGCTATTGGGGGATACAATGCCTGGAAAGTGCCATTCAGTTCTTCAAAGGGTGATGATGATGATGGATATCGCTAATCTACAAAGACGCACATGAGATGTTTATTATGTTGCGCGGTCAAGGGAGCTGGGAGGATTGATTGCTTCGAATGGCAATCCAGAACCTGTCGGGTGGAAGTTGCGAATGATGGCCGGTCTGCTGGGTGTTGCAGGTTACAAAGATGGATGAACCGTTTGGAGCGGGACGGGGGTTAGATGGCTTAATTTTTTTTTCGCGTCATGCACCAAAGCGGGCTTGGAAAAACTTGGAGACTCTGGTCAGGTAAGGTACGCAGGTGGTGGTGGTTGAAGGAAGACGTGATGGACTGCCTAGCTTTGGCAAGTGGCCAGCGAACGCTCCTTCCAGTTTTGCAGCTCAGACTTCCGAAAGTCTTGGAGGACGGGATTTCATCCCACAATGTGCGTTGATGGAGCGGACTTTGGTATGCAGTGCAAAAACTTAACTTGAAAGTGGAGGACACCTACAGAACAGCATATTTTGCAGGATGTAGGCATACAATTCTGGTCATCCGGTTTTGCTGCCCTGGAGGTTTGCAGACACTCGACGCGGGCATCACCCCCTCCTCACTTCGTCTTTGGCCTGGTGGCAGTATTTAATCAACAACCCTCAACGACACTAGCCCATCGACGCCTCATCACCAAACCTCGCGGCGATTCTTGGTTGAACTGGTCCTCGCTAGTCTTCATCTTTCCTTTGGCAGGGCGAAAGACGCCATCGCAGCTTCCTCTACCGTCATCCATCGACAACAAACTCCTTTCATCGCCGACATTATGGCCGACCCTGATCCGCTGCGACAGCTTCCTATCCGTCCTCACACACCAAGACATATCGTCGACACAATGGAGGCGTCCGACATGGGAAAGCCGCTTCCAGTCTTGCCATTCGCGACTCTTGCGTTTCCGCCTTTGCCAATTCCCTTGTCTAACTTCTCCATTTACTCTCAGCGTCCTTCGAAGCCCCGATTGAAAGTCAGATGCCCTCACTCTGTCATGACCCGCTTTTACTCTACGCGTGACAAGTGTGTTTATTGCAGACGAAAGGGCGACTTCGGCTGGGTCTACAAGTGTATCGTCGATCGCGATGCTCTGATCATGGGCAGAAAGGCCATTGGAATTCCTGTGGCCTTTGACGGTATCGGCTGTCACTTTGCTGACAAGATGACCCTTGGGAAGCATGGCCCAGACGCTCGCCACGAGGATTACAGCTTTCTCAGAGAGATAACTCCCGAACAGATGGTCTCGTATACCCCGTCTCAGATACAGAAGATACTGAGCCAGCGCGAGAACGTACGTCTGTCTATACCATGGAAGCAACATGCTCAGTTTGCTGACGCCAACAAAAAACCGAAAGGTCAAGAATACCATAGCAGAAGAGCGCCGCCAGTCCGATCACCCGCGTTACGAGCACGCCAAAAAGAGGTTCCCTGATGACGACCAACCGTGGATGCCAAGCCGCGAAACAGAGTGCGGTTTCACTGTCTGCCATAGTTGCTACCCAAGCGCCACCGAAAAAAATCGTATCAGCATCGATGCTGTGACCGAAGGCGATATCCAGCCAACCGTGGCCATTGGCTATGGGTTTAGCAAGCTAAAATCAAGGCCCTACGCGAAGGCTGAGATTGTGCGCAACATTGGCTACCGACCTGTTCCCTTGGTATGTTGTATATCCACCCCAACAAAACTGTTTCCTTGTCTAACATCACCTTGCAACAGCCCATCGACCACTCCGGGGACCAGTCGGCCAACGATTGGTTCTCCGCACCCACCGATAACGTTATGGATATTGCTGACCAGTACTTCAAGATGACCGCGCATGATGGTTCCTCTGATGCCAGGAACGTGGTCACTCCCGCATTACCATGCCGTTTGAGTCCGCCTGGCACACCTGGCACGCCTCGACGTTCACGATTGATGGTTGATTCATCATCAGATACGCTCGATTTTGCGTACGCAACAAGTTCATCGGCGAGAAAGTTTCTTCCTGTTCGACCTCCGTGGACTCCTCCTCCAACACCCCGAAGCAGCCCGAAAAATGACATCAATGAGTCAGAGACACTCACCACTTTCGGCACCCATCATCTCACCTCCAATGGGCGCAGGTTTGTATCTGGTCTTTCCCGCTGTAAACCAGCTGTGCCAACTAACTATTCCGTAGCCCAGCTTTACTCAAGGTCAATCCCGCAGTGAGAGATATGGTCTTGTCATCGGTGACCGATTTACCATTTCCAGAGGATCAAAAGGGAACAAAGACCACACCAACCGAGTATGTTCCTGGATTGCTGAACGATGATCAGATCCCCATCCAGTTCAAAGAGGAGTACAACCCTGGCCCATTCCAAACTTTGAGCAGTAAGGTATACGTTGAGGCATGCACTACGCCTCTTCCGCCGGCCAACATGGATGAAATCATGTTCTTTCGCAATGAGCCCTTGCCGAGGAAGCCGAGCCTTAGGTGGCACTGTTCTCAGTGCGAATCTCACAGAGGGCCGAGGCCTGCAATCGCAGTCGCCGGACAAGATGGAGATGCAACCAATTCCTTGAGTTCAGAGCCAATCACCTTTCTCAAAAGCATTGCTATCACTGAGGAAGCAGCGGAGTTTGGCACTCCTGATGTTGCTGTGGCCGTTGATATACAGCCGGTAATCTCTGCTTATCCCAGGCAAGATGACAAGGCGCTCAAGCTCTGAGTGCTTCAGAATTTACTGATCTATGGCTGTCCGATGAATTAAAGCCATCTGGCTTGAATAAGCCTGAAAGATGTGGATCGGCATATACCAGCTGTGGTTGCCTTACGGTGCCGTCTCGATGGCACGAGAATAAAGTCTAGTGGATTGTTTACCACCACCTAAGTCAACTGATACATTACAGGTTACAAAGAATCAATGTCTAATACCCTTACGATAAGAGCTAATTGATGTTGAGAGTGCTCTCAGTTTGACCTAAATCACTTGCTCGGTTTTTATTGCTGGTAGCTCATGTTGGAGTACAATAGCCTGATAGGTCAAAGCTTTTGAAGGCAGTGAGATTGGCACCTCACTTGGCCAGTGGATGTCTTCGAAGTCTGGATGACTCCCTCTTACTTCTGCGAGGAATGCTCAAACAGGTGGATTGTGACTAGTCTGTAAGCAATTCCGTTCATGGCTTCAAGCGTACTTGAACCAACTACTTTGTGAGAGGCGGAGTTGCGGCGGTGCACTACTGGTAGTTAGTGTAACTTGAGCTCCTGACCAACCAGCTCACTTGACCCCGTCAGCATTATTGTAGCCTTAACCCATTAATGAACCGTTTACCTCAACTTTCACTTTCATCAGGTCCAAACTTGCCATACTACCAAATGAAACGCTTCCAAGATGGAAGCCATTAAGACGTTATTCAACAAACTACAAGATACTGTGACGCCACATTCCGGTGCCATAAAACTCCCCGACCACGATCGCATCAGTCTCTTGACCGTGAACGATGAGCCGTACCACGACGACGAGAATGACTCCAACGATAGCCAAAATGATACTCCTCGCATCCAATTCTCCCCTCAACAACTTTACTCCCACCTCCGCCTAGACCCCTCCATCAAATCCATCCGCGTCCTAGACATCGATCCATCACCCTTAAGAGACCCGAATGGTCCTCTCCAAGGTACCCTACGCGTAGTCCACCTCTCCGACTTCCCCGCCTTTACCGCCCTCTCATACACCTGGGGTCCATACTCTTCTCCATCTGTGGACACCATCCGCTGCAATAACTCTTGCGATATCCCCATTACCAGAAACGGCCGCGACGCGCTTCTCGCCCTTCGAAAACGGCATTATTCAGCAGGGACGATACGATGGAAACAACCCCTCCCGCTCACCATCTGGGTCGACGCCGTCTGCATCAACCAAGCTGACGACACGGAGAAGGCGGGCCAAATCGCGCTGATGGCCGAGGTGTACACCTGGGCAAGAACGGTGTGGGTGTGGCTAGGAGCTGGGGACGAGAAGACCGCGAGGGCGATCAAGGCGTTGAAGAGAGCGGCAAATTTCAGGATTGAGCCTGTTGTTGTGCCCTGGATTGAAGAGGACATATACGCGTACGCGGTGGCGGGCCCGAGGTCGGTAGCGTACTACAAGGTTCAACTGGCCAAGAGCATGATCTTGGTCTTTCTGCGGACGTTCTGGAGTTACCTGATGGGCATACCACAGCAATCTCTCAGCATCGTACGTGATGTCTTCGGCGGTCGGACTCGGGGCACTGGGTCTGATGGCGGCGATATCGAGTGCTTGCTAGACAGAGAGTGGATGGAGCGGGCGTGGACGTTCCAGGAGATTGTGCTGGCCAGTAATCCTGTCATTGTCTGTGGAGAGGAGGCCATCGGCTGGGCGCAGCTTCAAGAGGGACTTGACTGCCTCGACCAGATGCAACCATCTTTTGCAGGTATCAACGGCATCAGCAGCTTCATCATCAGCAGCAGCATCGGTGGCGGCGGCGGCGGCTGGCCAACTGGATTGAGTGCGGTGCGGTACTACCTTTTCAAGGGCTGGGCCATGTTGAAGGGCACCAGGACTTTGAGCGATTGGGAAAATTACGTTAACGAGTCTGTGGGAAAATCAGAGGTTTCACGACGGTGGTTGAACCTTTTCCATGTCTGGAGAACGGTCTGTCGTCCCACGGGCTGGAATGGCCGAATTTTTCGCAGTGTGCACAAACTGTATGGCGCAGCGCAGAGCGATGACGACTACAACTCATCACGGACTGGTGCCTCGGCATCGGCAGGTTACTCCTCCGTCAAGGAATACGAAGGCCAATTCAGCACCCGAAAGATATGGAATCAAGCTCGACTCGTTATTCTACTACCGTATGTCGCGTTCATGGCAATACTTTTCTACGCCATTGCACTACCGTTTACGAGTGGCTTCGACCCTCGTGAACCCGAACGTCAATGGCCATACTTTTTTTATTTTTGGGACCGCATCGCTGCTTATTACCATCAATTTTATCCCATTCACGATTTACCTTTCTCTTGCCTTGGGGGAGCCCACCATAGGGACGCATGCTCAATCCAACGACATCCATGCTGCCAGCGGTCTGATTGCAATCATTCGTGTCCTTAGGGACCGCAAAGCCCATGAAGCTCATGACAAATCTTTCGCCACGCATGGTGTTCTCCAGCGACTAGGCATCTCGGTTCCCCCGCCTGATTACAGGAAACCGCTTGGAAAGGTGTACCATGAGCTCTACGCCGCGTTGGTAAAGCGGGAACCATCATATATCGCGCTTCTATCCGACGTAAAAGGGACAGTATTGCCGGGAGCACCAAGCTGGGTGCCGGACTGGGGATCAAAAAAGCTGCATTGGACAAGAGATGATTCCATCTATAGTCGTATCGAAGATCCCTCAAGGCCAAACTCCTCTGACTTGGTCAAGTGGAATTCGGAGGAAACAGAGATAGTCGTCAGAGGACTCTTTATCGGCGAATTAAGCTACATTTCACAGCCCATCGGATGCGAAGAGCAACTCGATGGCAGCCCTGAACCCATGTGGCGTGCCTCCCTCACTACCATTGATGAGTGGCGGCGAGAGGTCGTCGAGCTATACGCGCAACAAACCCCGCGGTGCGAGTACAACTCGTCATCGGTATCTCTGACGCTTCGCCCATCCGCATCCAATTCCAATTCCAACCAGTCATCATCATCGCTAGACGATGAAGGATGGATCAAAGAGGATTTTACGAGATGGCATAAGATTCTGACCGCACATGGCTACGATGATGTCTCTAGACATGAGCTGGTTGAGCTCGCGCTGTCACAGCGGGAGTTTCAGGCGCGCAGATTTACCGACTACATTTGTCGTGGTTTTGCCGGTACCGCCAGCTTGTTTGTCTCGACAGACTCGGCGTGTGTCGGGAAAGGGCCGAAGGGGATAGAGAAGGGAGATGAGATCTACCTGATTGATGGGGTTGGTCAGCCTATGATATTGCGAAAGCATGGGGACAGTGGAAAGTACAGAGTCATGGGCCCGGCTTTTGCTTGTCATCTTCAGAATATTCATACGTTTGAAGATGGCGATAAGGGAGTTCTGGATAGTAATCGCTGGGGGCCGGTTACACTTGTTTGAGTTCTCGCAACCGAAATGGAATTTTTAGCGGTCGAGGATTTAGGCGGAGGAAAGATGCTATTTTGAAGTTCGACAAAGGAGGAAGGAAAGAAAATACACGGAAAGAAATTTGAGACTGAATACCTCTAGAACCTGAGCGTGCCGTTGAAACCAGTGATTATCGCACCTGCCACTCGCTTACATCTTCACAATAGCATAAGTAGATAGCTCCACTCGCCCTTCCCTTATATCGAGTCGCTCCTTCCTCGTTCGTTGTAACTGAACACTGGATGATCCTGCCTGTTAAGACTTGACCCACTCACAGAGACAAGAGGTACATTGATTAATTCGTAGCTCGTTGACGGTTTCCTCAATTGGTGACTAGTGTGGCATGTGCAGTGGTGATCGGGGAGTGATGATGCCACCATTTCATATTAATGACAACGAGAAAGGAACACTTCGGGAGCAATGCGGTGTCGTGAGTGTGACCAAACACCTCGATCAGTGAGGCCGGTAATTGATACGCCGATTCAGTGTAGAGGAGCCACAGTCGACAGGAAAACGAGTGTACCAGTAGTGAAAAGAATCGAAGTGCGTGCAGTGAACTTGATATTGAACTTGAAGTGCAGTGCCGTCGGCGGGGAGAAAACGAGACAACTCAACACTCAACTCAAGCATAGGTATATTAGCTGCCTAGCATCTGCATAATAGCCAACCTTGACTGAATGATACGGCGAGTATCACAGTTACTTCCTGCTTGCTCATAGCATGAGAACTGTAGAACCAAAACTTGTACGAGTCTAGAAGCAAGACAAAAATGGATGATTGCTGGCTGTGTGTCCATCACTATCATAGCATGTCGTTGTCATACTTCATCGGTTAAACCCTCCTCAAACGCTCATCGCATCTCGATTCTCGATTCTCGAGCGGCCGATTATTACGCCTTCTTCTCGTCCTTATAGGGGAACATCTCCCAGAATCCAATCTCCATCTAATAGATCAGACACACACGTCAGCTCTATCACATCACCTAGGTTACAGTAGGTGTAAAGCAGCTGACATGACACCAAACCTCAGAACTTACCTTAGTAGCATGTACGAAAACGCCTACCAACTCCTCTACCCTCCCGGGACTCTGCAGCACAGCGTGTCTCTCAAGTAGCTCTCGTCCCGCTTGGACGGCGGTGGTATAATCGTCCGCGACGTAGTTGGCAATCCAAGACCAGTAGAGGTTCTCATGTTCGCCGGTCTTGGAAGTGGGCGAGGTGTGCAGGTGCTTGGCGATGGCGCCGTAGCCGAGGAGGCATGGGGCCAGAGCGATTTGGAGCGCGAACCAATCTTCGGATTGGCCTATGTCTAGAACGTATCTGGGGTTGGTGAAGTAGTTGTTAGAGGGGGTATGAGCATGGGCTGTCAAGGGAACGGAGCAGGGAAAGGGGGAGAAGTGGAGGCTTTTGCTGTGTAAATGAGTGGGGGAAGAATAACTCACCTGGTGTATGCCGTGCAAGCTGTTACAGACAGACGTTAATGTTAGTTGTCTTCGCGTGCAACAATACCTCCTTCGGGGGAAGAAGGACCAATATTTACCTTGATGTTCCTCGGTCTTCTCCATCTGCTCTTTGGAGATGCCAAAACCAGCGCAGTATTGGACATGAAGACTCATCTCCCTGAAGCAGTTCGCAACTATGGCAGCCGACTGTTCAACTCCCCCCCCCCACCTGTCGTTAGCCTTACTCTCATCAGAACCAGGGGGCTGATTAGAGTAAACATACACCAGCAACGTCTTCGATGTTCTTGGCCTTGTACGAAGCCAACGCGTTGGCACGGGCGTAGTGAATCTGTAACAGAAAAGAGAGTCAGTGCTGGGGAGCTTAAAAGTGGTCTAAGTTGGGGAATAAGCGCAAAAAACGCATGAGGTACAGCAAAACAAACCAGGACATACAAGATAAACATAATCCTGCATTAGATATCCCTTGAAGGATTCTCTCGGCAGTGTCCCATCACCCATGGCCATAACGAACGGGTGGTGGATGTAGCGGTCCCACACCGGGGCGACATCGGGTCTTTCAAGAAGGTAGTCGAGGAAGTGGCCACTGGCGACTCGTTAGCAACGGCGTTCCGGTACATGCCGTGATGGGAGGTAAAGCTCACGGAGAGAATGGAAGTGCCTTGACGGAGTGAAAGTGGTTAAGGGGCCCGTTCCCTTGGCCTAGCCCAGGCGCCGTCCTGATTGCGGCATCGACATATCTGATTCCAGCCTTAACCGCGGAAACCATGTCCATCCCCTTGGCGAGGTTCGAGGCGATGGCGGCTGTGAGGGGGGTGTCAGTCACTCAATCCATCATTAGGAGACCATGAACTCTGGGGTCTTTTTGAGGATATGTAATGGAGGGCAGCTCAAACTCACAAGCCAGCGAGCACCCAGTACCATGGGTATTCCTAGATCTCTGGTACGGCATCTCAATCTTGACCACCTGCAGCTTCTCCTCTCCCTCTACGTCCCTCTTGGTTCCCTCTGCAGCAGGTCCCACGAGAACATTGACGACGATTTCCTTCTCGTCCTCCGTCTTTGCTTCGGTACCGTCCCTGCGGAAAGGAGAATGGCCGCCCTTGACTAGCACCCACTTTGACCCAAGTTTCTGCACCTTGAGGGCAATTTCCTCAAGATCGGCAACGGACTGAACCAGGTGTTTGTCGTGGCCGGCTTCAAGTAGGAGTGTGTTTGCTTCCGGGACGTTAGGTGTGAGGATGGTGGCTAGAGGGAGAAGCTTCTCGCGGAGGGCACGGGAAGCGGAGTTAGGAAGGAGCTCGGCGCCCGTTGTCGCAATCATTACCTGCGTGAATGTGTAAGTATATATTGGTGACATTGAAGTGGTGCGTGATAGAACGGAACGAAACGCCCCTTCAAACATAGTGGTGGGTGGAGAAGTGAGTAGAGGATGGTGCACTGTGGCACTTTGGAGACCAAAATAGGGGTAAGGCCATGTAAACAAACAAACAAAACGGCTAAACATGAACCTACCGGGTCAACAACCAACGTCTTGAGCTTGTTGTCATGGATAGCCTGAGCCACAGCCTCGATAGTGCTGGTTGACGCAAGCATGCCTTGATACCACGAAGGTCATTAGTGATCAATTACGCTTCATTTCTTTTGACGAGGACCTCACCAGTCTTGACAACGTCAACACCAACATCTTCCACCACAGCATCAATCTGCTTCCTTAGAAAGTCCACGGGAACCTCGTGAATGCCGTACACTCCCTTGGTATTTTGAGCCGTCAATGCAGTGGTGGCTGTCATAGCATAGCATCCATGGGCGGCAATGACCTTTTGGTCCGCCTCGAGACCTCTGCTTCATGTCAGATCGCTTGTTCCAAGTATGAGGAATGGGCAATGGGAATCTGGAGCTTGGAGAGAACATAACGTGAATGGAATAATATTGGTAATAAGAGAAACAACTAAGATTACTAACGCTCCGCCCGAACTGTCCGACCCTGCTATGACCAATACTCTGGGCACTGTACTACCACCGTCGTTGGAAGCACTCATCGTGAGGAAGCTGGTTGATCCTGAGTGGGCTTGAGATGATGGGAAGGATAGGAATGAATTGACGAAGACTGGATAAGAAGGAAGACGGTTACTGGAGGTGACTATGTTAGTGGAAAAGATGATGACCGGAAGTGCTGAGAGGCGTGCCAGCAAGGTTCTCTCGTTAAGGGCAGGAGCAGGTATCATGCCATTGATAACCGAACGTAACTGCCAAAATACGAAAGTCACTCAAACCTCTGTCACTTCCAAGGAGTGGGGTGTTACAGTGGGGTCCCTGTTACACTAACATTTCCTTCCTGAAACTCGTCCGTCATGACTCCATCCACCATCTTAACAGCGAGAACACCAACTGCCAACCAAGGAAATACCGCCCACGATCACCAAACCTTGTGAACAAGTAACTGTCGCTATCACACGTCCTCTTATATCCAAAATTATACAGCATTCACACCTCAAGAATATCGGAAAAGGTCAGTGAACACTTCTCAAAGGCAGATACCCAAGAGAAACGGCATACGCCAGGATAGCATTTGCGATAGACCAACAAGCCAGTATTTTCAACACTACAACATATTAGGATGTATTTCCATGATAACCAACGCCTTCACCTTATATATCCAAACATGCCATGCAAAAAATAGGAAAAAGAAGAGGTAGTCTGATATGCAAAAGGGGTATTGCGATACAAGCATGGAGGACACAGCCTCTCATGCGAAAAGCACAGGTCTGTCGACAAAGCCCCAAATGAGGAATTCGAATGGCGACTTGACTTCGGGAGTAAATCCCGAAGGACAGAAGAAGAAAAGAAGAGGGCAACATCGTAACTTCATGCATCAGCCCGTCGTGATCGGCCTGGGGGTATAATTGGTGAGCGTACCAAAACCGAGACGGCGAGCTGGTTCTATATCTCCTGGACCCAGACCTAACGATGCTGTTAGTATGGACAGTGCAGCAGGACAACGACAAAAGCAGCAAAACTTACCTCCATCTTCCCAGTCTCCAATTTTTGTTTCCTGGCATTTTGCTTGACCGTTTGAATGAGCATGTCAAGATCATCCTGATCGCCCACCGTGATCATATCACCTTCTGGCGAGTCGTCATCCTTGATTTTGATCTTGATGCGGCGGCGAATGCCAAACTTGCTCCTGATCTTCTCCTCAAAGTCAGGGAATTCAATGGCAGTTCCGACCATGATGTAGCGAACATCGCCAGCATGGACCTTAACCCGGATGGTGCGAAGTTCAGGCCGCCTAGATGAACCGCGCCCTCCGGAGCTTCGAACCGTGTTGGAACTGGGCCTACGACCGGAGACCATCTCAAATTCGCCCTCGTCAAAGGAAACGTCATAATCGCTCTCTTCGTCCTCTTCCTGGATGTATCGAGGGGCGGGGGTGCCTCGCTGACTCCTTTGTCCGCGGCTGTTTCGGTTGGGGCGGGGCCGCCGTACATATCGTATAAATCCCCTGCGTAACTGTCCTCCTCTTCCTGTTGATTCCGTCTCATTCTTGGCGGCGGCTGCTGGTCGCGTTGAGAGAAACCTCGGGATGGGGTGGCCGATGCTGCGCGAGAAGGCCGCCTTGGGGGCTCTTCCGGCGAGGTCTTTTCGTAACGATCGCTCGGTCGGACCTTATCGAGGTTGAGCTTAGCCGGCATGGGCTTGGGGCCGTTTCGGACAGAAGCACCGCGGCTCATCTGTGACTTCTCATTCTCGGGCGGCGGTGTCGGCGGGAACATGCTGCGGTTGGTCGGGGGCTCCGATTGTTGCCTTCTGCTCTGTAGCCCAGGCTTGACGAGGTTGGTAGCGGCGAAAGACAGCGACTCGGCTGGCCTATCATCCTTGACTTCCAGTTTCCCAGCCTAGTTCCGTTAGTTAGCTACGGCAAAGGAAAGAGCAGGTGAATCAGCAAGACTAACATTTTTTGATTTCAGCACCAGTAAAGCCAGTGAAAGCATTGTTCGCATCTGATGTTGCTACTAGGCGGGCCTTGCCAAGGTAGTCTTTGGTCTTTAGGTTTCGCACTTTCGCCTCGTTTGGTCGGTAGACGACGCCCACTGGAATAGAGAAAACAGTGTAGCCCTAAGTACTTGTTAGCGATAGTCCGATTTCGAGAAGCACAACGCGCTTACCTCTGCATTCTCCTTGATCGCTTCATCGATCACGTTATGGTCCTCGACCACCTTCTCCTTGGCCGCATATGCCAAATCCTGCATACCAGCTTCGGTTTGTTGAAGGTAGATGTAGCATAGACCGCGGTTGAAGAGGACTTCGCATGAATAAAGCTTGAAGAGAAGGCCCAACTGCGCATAGTCGATGACTTGGTTGCCTCGGAGATATAGGAGTGTATCGTTGAAATTGGCCAATGCCTCTTCGAAGTCGCCAAGCAAGAAGTTGGAAACACCCTGTTGGAAGTATGCGACAGCTAGGTACTGATCGAGTCGGATCGCTCGTTGATAACACTCGACCTGATTAAAAGAGGGTATGTAAGCTTAGGTTGGTGTCACAAGGAAGTGTACGTTCCGCGACTTACAGCTTGCTCGTGTTGACCCAGAGTCGCATGAATCACTCCCATGTTGAAGAGGATCTTGGAGGTGTCGGCAATCTTTTCGAACTCTTGCAAAGCAGCATCGAACTCGCTATTGTCATATTGCGTGAGTGCAGAGACCCAAGTCTCTATTTCCTGTAGCCAAAATGGCGCGTGAGCTTTGTGAACGTGGATCGGATGGAAGGAGGCGATATGGGACGAAAAGGTGTACTGACCTGTTTTAGCGACATGTTGAGGTGTTGTTAGACGTGCGTATGATGTTGGGTTGATGCCGGACTCGGAGCGGCGGGAGATGCGAAAACAGAGAAAGGAACACCTGGAAGCCCTTCTTGGAAGCAAGTCGCGAGAATATTAAAACACCGTTTTGGCCCACGCGGACCCGAAGCAATGGAGAAATAGGAGGTGGTGTATCGGGACGACTCAAGAGTAGCAGCGAAACATGCAGAGGGGTTGAGCGTGGCCAGGCCTGCTGTCTTGTATAAGTGGGCGGCAGATTGGGCAGGCCACTGTACGGGACCTCGGGGTACCAGTAGCGAGTGTGAGCAGGGTGGCAGCAAGGGCGGCAACAGGGGTGCTCGCTCTTGGTTGGTCGAGTCAGCGGCAGGATGGCACCGCTTCGTCCGCGTCCGCACACTTGTAATTTTTTGCACCGCTAGCAGCTCTCTCTTCACGGGTTTGGCTGTGCTTGGTCTGCAGGTGCTGAGCCTGGCACGCCTGGCTGGTCTTGTTGGGCTGGTCGTTTGGCCTGGGCAGAAACGGCGAGATCCCCGCGCCTTGTTCGTGGGCCCAAAAGCTCACTTCCCTAGTGTACAACTTTTCAGTGGAGTCCGATGCTCCGTTCGGTTCGTGGGACCCGTAGGAACGTGGGACGGACGATGGTCGCTATAAAAACGCTGGTCGTGGACCTGATGATGTTGCTGATTTAGCGGCAGCTTGGCATGTGACGGCCTGTGATTTGACTTTGGAGATTCTCGCACAGTTGGTATCGTCCGAGTTTGGTCTTTGGTGTTGGACCCCACGACGCAGGTCCCGGTGATGATGTTCAGGTACCAGCGGGTAGAGGCTGGCGGGAGCAATATCGAATTGCAGGATGCAGATGATGACAGCAGGAAGGGTAGTGACCTGTACACTACTCTGTAGTCTCTGGACCCTGACAGGAACTGAACAGTTGGTAAAGGCTGTCTAGTGGTATGTAACTGGGGTACCAATTGATGACCTAGAGGTATCCAGCCTCGACCCAGCAATACCAATACAGATAGATATCGGCTTATACAGATGCGGTCGACGAAGATCAGAACCAGCCAACAGGCGCCCGGTCCAGCTCCTCGGAAATTGTCCTCGAGATCGTTGGGGAAGGATTGGGATCAACCCGAAGAGGGAATGTCTCTGATCGACTCAAAGGCAGGCGGTTATCAGTGCCAATTAGGAATAATGTAGATATAGAAGGAATGGATGCAAGTTGCTGGCTGTACGGTCTGGGATGACAGGAAGGGTCAGGCTGCGGCGGTAGATTGGGTGACCGGGACAATGGAAATGAGAGAATATCGTCAAGTGACGAAGCAAATAGTCCGTGTAGCCAAGTATCTTGTGAATCGGCAGAGAGAATTGTTGGTGTTTGTGGTGGAGAAGAGCGAGGGTGATGGGATCGGAGCGCCGAGATATCAAAGCAGTCAAAGTTTAGGCGGCAGTAAACAGTGGACATGTGGACAGTTGTGGGGGCGTGCCTGGGGTGAGTGGACCGCGCTTGCCGGGGAGACAAAACGCTGATGACGCTAGGGCAAGAGCCTCTGAGCCTTTGAGGTCCATGCTCACAGGGACAACCCGCCAAGTCAGGCCAAGACAGGACAACTGGAAGACACCAACAAGATACTTTGCATCAACAGGCCATCCATGCTATATCCCTTTGCAACATTGGCCTCTTGGGTCCCGTCCGTGTTTCTAAACTTTGTCTCCTCCTCCTCGTTTACGCTTCTTCGACTCCGTTTGACCTCGGTTCCCGTACCATCGTCACAATGGGAGAGTCCCAGGCCGGAGATTCCTTTGCAACGTTGAAATTTGCAAGAGTTGCAGTTGTCAGAGATATGCAAAAGTGACACTTCCAGGGGCTTCCGAGTTTGAACCTCTCTCCATCTGCACGCTCGGCCTCTTGTCTACCGAAACGAGGGCTCTCCTGGCTTCTGTTATGTTGCCGAGCATTGGCAGTACTGGCAGTATCATGAATGTGATGTCAAGGAAACAAATTGTATGTTTAAATGGCTCTACCATCGAATGTTTTCCAAGACTGGGTCGGCCCACCACCACGATAAGCTTCTAGTTCCCGTCACATGTATGGCCTATGAACGGCGCGGGAGAACAATGGCATTTATATGGCCGGGCCAGAGACGGAGTTACGGACGTCAGGAAGGGAACAGCCTGATGTGATGAGATTGCCTGCTGCGGCATCGAGGTAGTAGTCCCAGGGCAAAAATAGTTCACACGTGTAGAGCTTGTAGGGTAGTATTTCACCATTTGGATGGGAGCTTCGTGGGTTCCGATGAGCGATGAGTTATTCCAGCAGTTTCCTAAACCGTACAGCTTTTCTAGGTCTCGGCTCAGATCGATTTCCACTCTTGGACTTGAGCCGGCTCATGGTCCATGTCTTTCTCTTATTTCCGCCTCTCGAACAAATGTGTGCATGTGTGCGTGAGTGTCAAAGAGTGCCCTGAGACTCTGAGTTCGTTGACAGCTGGAAGGTGAGAACTTGAAGGGGTTCGGTCACAATGCGGTCGGTGGACGGACGTGCAACCACTGTCACAGAACTGTTGAACCCTTGCGAATCACGACCCACCTCGCTCATGCAAGATGGAATCCACAAGACCATCTCACCACTGATTGGTTCAATTGAAACATTAGACCGGTCTTGGCAATTGGTTCCTGGCGCGTATTTCCAACTTCGTCCCTTCCCGTTCAGACGGAATTTGGAACTCGGCACTTTCAACCTTTCTCGATCCTCATCGTCATCGTGGCTACCAGCCAGACTACCAGGACAGCTCGAAGCTTTTCCACTGATACCACGTGGACGACCATACCCGTATTCCTTGCGGGCAATCCATCTCTCAACACCAAGAAGCTTATCCCAGTCTTTCATTGTGGTCCCGGGCTTGTCCCGAGGCACAAACAGTCAGGCCGCTTGCCATGGCCTCCAGGAGCAATGCGAGCATCTCGAAGCTTCCCATCACCAAAACCAGGGAACATGCCTCTTGGGTGCTATCTAAGCGCCATCATTTTCCACCGAAACGAACCGTCTCAACCCACTCACCACCAGCAAGTCGAGATATTGGTTAAATGCATGGCCAACGTTCTGTGACAGTGACAGTGACTATGTCTGGACTCTGCAGACAGGCAACAAGAATGATTGAGGTCCCTCAACTGGATATGTGTCAAGCTTCTCATATGATGGATGGCCTGTGGTTGCCAATATCGCAACCATCAAGTTGACACGCGAACACTGGACCATCCGGGTTAGAGTCGTCCGTCTTGCCAAATAGAAAGGTGACCGGAGGCAGGAACAAAACGTGTTGAATCCAAAAATAAGATGCTTGGATCATTCCACTGCCTCGCATTCGGGTTGAGTATGGCACAATCTCTCCCTATCATGGACTGTCACCGGGGATGAATGTGCGATAGGGCGAGAGCCACCAGTTAATGCTACCAATTATCAGGCATCACTGCTGTCTTCTGTCTCTCGACATTGCATGTGTCTCTTCTCCAATCTTCCCTCTCCCTCAGTTCAACATGTTTATCTTCACTCCAGTTTACTGCTTAACCAGGTCTCTTCAAAGGCCTCAAACAGCCCCGGCGCTTAACACCTGTTCATGAGGCTGTCTTAGTTGCATTTGCAAAGTTCGAACACCAACAACGGTGCCGCAATGGTGCAGCAAGCGTGGAATGTCAAAGGAATCTTCGGGCACCGCGATGTTACCAAAGAAAAGACATGGTTCGGCACCTGCCGGGCCTTCAACGGGGCCAGACCTAATTCAGGTAGGCAAGGGGGGTAAAGTCCGGCGCTGTTCTCCTGCATGTTCAAACTGTTTCGCACTGGGACCCTAAAGAATCCCATCGGGTAGCACGGAATACCAAAATGCTGACATGCAAATTCGGGAATATTCAATCCCGGCAGGGGCGGTCTAACATGATAATCTGTGGAGGACAACAACAGCTTGGGAGCTTTTGGCCAGCTTGATTTAAAGCCGTCAACGGGGCATTTACCAGTACAGACCAGCGCTGGATACTCTAGGTGGCTTTAACGTCTTGTGTCCAACAATCACATATGCATCGGGAGAACACATTCGTTACTCCGTGCAAGGCAAGATGTTGAATTTGGCATAACACTAAATCAAACCACCTGTCTCACTGCCCGGATTTTGTTCGCCATGACACTCATTCCGTTCTACTTCCGGTTTGTGGTGCGTGGGGTCATTTTCCCATAAGACAAAGTTAGCCATCGACGAGTGTTTCTCCTAACCTCTTTCTACCCGCATGACTGTAACGCAAGGAAACACCAAGACTTTCGCACCAGGTAAACCTAATACATATCTACCCGTCAACGACGGCACCCATGAGGAAAACCAAAACACTCTAACCACTTCTTTTTTTTTCCCTTGAAGTCCTCAAGATATGAGAGATACAAGAAACCTAAAGCAGAAAGCTTGATGGGATTTACAAATACAGATGCAATTTACCTACCTATCTTCCTCCCTATCCATTCCCCCACCGCGAATCCCACATTCCCACAGTTTTCTTTGGTTCTTTGGTTGCATACAACGCTGTTTGTCCATCAAGGTTGTAGTGTAGAGCTACCTACCGAGCAGACAAATCACTTCCGTGTCTCGGGCCGGTTACACACCAAACCCATTGTTTCACTCACACGCTCCTTCAAGGGTGTGTGTGTCAAGCAAAGACACTCACTCGACTTTATTATGCCGAAGAGATGCAACAGTGTTGGTTTAGACTTGTGTCCTGCGAAAAAAATCTCAAAAATCTCTCCAATGCTGAGTTGAATACGACGAAAGTTTGTGTGATAGGACTTGTATCGTCGAATCACATTTCATGCGAACGTTTGTACCAGAACCATAATGCTTGATGGTAGTTGACTCAAAGTTGGAATCGAACCTGCTTCGTCATATGTACCTACCGATGTTCACACCAGGTGAGGTATGTTGATAGTTACCTGCACGACCGCTATGGCTTCTCAAGTCTCAACGGCATGAAATACTCATTTCACATCATATCCTACTGTACAAATGCTTGCCATACGTGCTAATCCGTACATCGAACCGTTACATTATATACATTTTCCCATATTCTCACACGCCCCTCTTTCCACCTCTTTCCGTGATCCTATTCATCGATAGGTCCATGACCCACATATTGTACATCTGGTAAAAATCACCTCGTCACATCACACACACACACCGCACCTTAGGCAATCACAGCATCCCCTTGTTAACCTCATCCTTCCGCTCCTCCCACAACGTCTTCCCCGTGCACGAACACACCGTCTTGTCATTATCCCACACGCCCGCGCTCCTCGCAATGACACCCACCACCGTATTCTCATCATTATCCAACGCCGTCGCCGCGCCTCCCTTGCCCTCCTCCTTTTCCACCGACACGGGCGCCACAGCAAACGCGTGCCCAATCACCTCCCAGATCTGGAACGGATGACTCAAAAACACGCTCCCGTGTCCGTCCTTGCTGATCTCCACCGTCCCCAACACGCCGCGCGGGGCAGTTGGGTCAGACACTTGCGCCTTGGTGGCGGCAGTCAGCGTGGCAGTGCCCGACCACACGGGTCCCGCAGACTCGACGCCCCGCGCGAGGTCGCCGAACTCGCGGATCGTGGCCCGGTAGGTACCCGGCGCGATGCCGCGCAGCGTGAGGTCGACGAGCGTGGTGGAGTCGTTCACCTGCACCATGCGCGCCAGGCCACGGACCATGCGGTCCGAGGCGCCCGGGGCGGGCTTGATGGCGTCCAGGGTAGGCTTGTGGTAGGTCTCGAGGATGCTGACGGCGGCGCCGTTGGAGGAGCCGGAGCCACGCAAAATGGCGTCGCGGCCTGTCGACTGGATGGTGTCGACGATGGCGGAGGGCGCGGCAGTACCTTCTATCGTGAGCAGCTGGTCCTTGAGGTTGGCTGAGACTTTTGTGATGCCGGGGAGCTTGTAGAGCGCGCTGGAGACATTGTCGACGCAGCTTTGGCAGTGCATGGGCACGGCGAAAAGGGTCTGTGAAACAGGGTTAGTATTAAATATCTCTCTGGAGTTGATTCATATGAGATGAGATGAGGGAGTTGTATGAGACAGGCTTGGACCCTTCATTTGAAGTAAAGTGTTGGACTGAGACCTATAGATACATAGGGATCTCATGGTGGCAGGTGAGTAGTAAAAAGAGATAAACAAACCTGGAAAGGGGTTGTGATGGACGCCATGTTGCTTGACGTCTTTGGAGTTGATAGCTTAGGAGGAACCGGGGAGGATGACTGTGACTGAAAATAATTCCTTTGGTGTTGTTGTCGTTGTTGCCAAAGATATGCGCCTCCAAAACCTGCTAAAGCTAGACTAGAAATACTTATAATATGCCTGGCTGTGTAAGGTGGCATCGGGTTTTCAAAGCACTAAGAGGAAGCGACGGCAAATATGAGAGGAACAGTATAGGAGGTGTGCTGTGAGACTGAGCAACACCAACAAGAGATGGAATGGATGGATTTGTATAGAAGGCGATGGAGGAGAGAGCCCCACGTTCGGCAAAGGAGGGGATGACTTAAATACAACAACGTTTTGACTCCGATCTACGGATCCCTAAAAGCCGGGGTAAATGCGAACTCTTTTGGTGTGATCTCTCACTGTTTCCTGACAAGTTGCTGGGGAGTTACCTCACTGGAGTGAGAAATGTCGTATTCAAATGAAGTGATCACTGAAGACGGGAGGAGATATCGGCCTGCCAGAATGTTGATTTCAAAGCGACGGCACCTTTCCCGGGACCACTTTTTGCGGGCGGCCAACTGGAGCTCCGCTGTGTCCGGTTCCTCGGTCGGCCCAAGCCGGGGCAATCCTGCTCGCTGAAGGTGTGTGATACCGGGGAAGGAAGTGCAGGCATTGGCACGCTGGAACATCAGTGAAAGAGAACTCCAGGTGCGTCCAATTGGTATTTGTTAGTGCTTTCTCCAACTATACACCAAGACTTGCGGACCACCGTACCTACCCCGCCAGCTGCCAGCGGGCCGCCTTACCCCAATCGAAAGTGGAAATTTTCCGGCAAAGAAAAGTGATCGCAGCTTTGCTGGGCTTGGCAGGCTCTGCTGCCCTTCTGAAGGAAGCGAGCTCCATTCTGTGCTTCCCGTGATACCGGACCACATTTGATACCCGTTCGCCGCGACAGCCCCGGACTTCCTCGCGCCTGCCGAACCCGCCGTCTCAAACCACTCCGGAGCCCGCCCGATCCCGTGTCATTCAATTGACCCGGACGACAACACATAGAGGTTTTCTTACCACCAGTCGATGAGGGACTCGTTCCCACTGGTTCTTACACCACCTGCCTTATCCACCTTAATCCTCTCTTAAACAACCACCATACCATATACGCACCTACATCACCGACACCTCGCAACACCGTCAAGATGTCGCAAACCTTTGGATCTGTAAGCTTTTCACTTTCTGGACAGACATATATGTCCCACCCGGTTCTGGTCTTGTCTTGACCTACCTTAAACCCACCGTGACTAACCACCGCCCATCTTGGTTCAAAACATATATAGACCCGACTAGCCTACTCCCGTGTCTGGCATCACATCTCCGCCGTCACCCCTCACCCGACGCTCTCGACCATCAAGGCGCCCGCCGATGACATTACCCCTCCCTCTCTGGGCCGTCTGGCCTCGCGCATCGCCACAATTCTGATGGGCAAGCACAAGCCGATTTGGGACCCCTCGACCGACTGCGGCGACTACGTGGTGGTGACCAACTGCGCGGGCCTGTACACGACGGGCCACAAGAAGTGGCGCAAGACGTACTACCGCCACAACACGCGGCCCGGCTCGCTGCAGGCCATCACTATGGACGCGCTGATGGAGAAGCACGGCGGCGCCGAGGTGCTGCGCAAGGCCGTCAGCGGCATGCTGCCCAAGAACAGGCTGCGCGACAAGCGGCTGGCGAGGCTCAAGGCGTTTGAGGGCGACGCGCACCCGTACAAGGAGAACTTGGTGCGGTTCGGCGGCAAGGTCGTGGGCGCTGAAGGGTGGGAGGAGGCTGTCAAGGCTATCAGGGAGGCGGATATGCAGAGGATATGAAGAACCCATGAATGAGGTGTGAGATGGGGTTGTGAAGAAGGGGTTTGAAAGGCACTGGGGCTGGCTGGCTGACTGGGCTATCTATCTACTCATGAAGGAGAAAGGATGTCAGAGGAACGGACGGGAGAGAAAAGAGATGTAGGGACGAATCTACATCGAGCAGTTTTTACGAACCGACCGTCTCGTCGACGAGGACCGAGGACTGGGGACTCCGTCAACTGTGAGGAAGATTGTGTGTGGGGACAAGAACGCGGTTGGAGCGAGACATCTCGTCCAGTGTGTTTGTTGTTGCTTCAGTTGAATGTCACTTAACCGTGTCATAAACGGGGCTATGCCGCCAGTTGCCAGTCTGTATATTATACATGGGAAGCCGATCCAGGAGCGTATTTCCGCCATGGATCGTGTATGAACTTGGGTTAGAAAAAGAGGACCTCTCTCATTGTACAAATACATCACTCAACAAGATACCATCCATGTTTGCGGCTCACGAGGGCAATTTGAGTCCCTTCAAAACGCAGGGCGAACCAACCCATGTGCCTATACAGCTCAAAGCGAAGACGTACATTCACATAGATGGTGCGCCAGCAATGCAGCTACCTATCAGCGGTTTTCACATGCCTGCTTGTTCATAAGGGGAAGTTTATTTGGTTTACCCCTGAAAAAAGACCAGCGCCAGTCAAGATGTACATAACCTTCATAAGTATTGATCTCGTTTCACCTTTATCAAACGTAATACGCCTGCCCACCAACCAGTCCCTCGCAAAACGTGTGAGGGAAAATGCAAGAAAAATGGTGATATCATAAGAAGAGAGAAAGAAGAAGTAAACGTGCGACTTTTGTCAAAAAGAAGTGCTCGACAATCGAAGTCTTACGAGCGAGAGACCTCGCACTTGATGAGACCGTTGGGACCAGACTGGGGAGCAAACACCTCGGCGTCCTTGCCGGTGTTCTGGAGGCCCTTGTGCCAGCTGAGGTCTGTTTGACGGGTGTTAGCATCTGGTTGTGTCTTGAAGAATAATGATAGGGCTGCAAAAGACTACTTACCAACTTCAAAGTAGTGCTTGTTGGGCAGCGAATAGTTGGTCTTGTCGGCCTCGGGCACCGCATCCAAGATCTGCTCGCACATCTTGTACATGGTGTTTTGGACCGACGCCGACTCGTCCTCGGCAAAGGTCTTGAGCGTGATGTTGCGGGCGGCCTCCCACGCGGCGTCGAAGCGCTCGACGCCCTCCTGCACGGCCGCCAGGTTGGCGAACTTCTGCCAGGTCCAGCCGGCGTCCACGTCGGTCGAGAGGATGCGGTCCCACGTCTCCTTGAGGGTGGTAAACTCGTCACGGACGAAGCCGTGGAAGGCGGAGCCGGTGCTCTTGAGCACCTGGAGGCCGACGATGCCGCTCTTGATGGCGATGCCGTCCCGCGTGACCGTGGCCTCGACGTTGCGGGTCTCCTGGCCGTCACGCAGGAAGCTGTGGGGGTGGGGCTGGCCGTCGATGACCATGCGCGTCCAGCGGTGGACGGTGATGTCGATGTGGGCGGCCGTGATGTGGGCGTATTTGTCGAGGAAGTGCTGGCCCAGGATGCTGGCGTACAGCTCGGGAGGGTTGACGGGGTGCTCCTTGGCCTTGATGTAGATGGTGTTCTTGATGGAGTCGGTAGCGACAACCACGCTGTTGTCGGCCTCGGTGTAGGAAGTCTCGATCTGGCCCTCGAGAAGGCAGCAGACGGTCATCTCGGTGACGGACTGCTGGCCGGTCTTCTCATCCTTGTGGACCTTGTAGACACGGACATTGTCCTTGCCGTAGCGAGCAGCAGAAAGGCGAGCCATGGTGTTGTTGTTGTTGGTTTTTGGCCTATGTGGAAGCATATAGTCTAGAGAGGGGTTCTCGGCTCGGAGTTGAGGAGAACGGTGCGGGGATTTGGTGTAAGAGATCCGGGAATAGAAAGGAAGAAGAATCCTTTGAATATGCAATGGCGTCTAGATGTGAGAGGGAACTTGGGGCAAGCAAGTTAAGCTTACGCAACGATGTGGATATCGAGTCTGTAGCTGAAGAGTAGCTGAAAGATAGAGAAATGGGGCAAAGAACAAGGAAGAGAGATCTTCACTTGAAACTGAGTCGGGGACAGGAGCTTTGAACAGTTTTATATCAACTTTGGAAGGCTCGTCTGTTTGAAAGTGTCATCGGGCATCGCAGATAGGCGACTTCCCCCTTCCCACCACCTCCTCCTCAGCTTGTAAGTAACTACCTTACTTACCTCATCGGCCCCCTTGACTGAGCGTTGCATGTGGTAACGCAGCTTGGTAACTGTGAATAACGTCCGATAACGAAATGGGTACAAGGACATATCGGAATGCGCCTTGGAGCGGCTTCCGCCCGTGCCCATGTTCGGGAAGACGAGACGTTCCTCCCGCGGCGGTTCCTGGCGGCCCATCCAGATGTGGCCCAGACATGTTGGTTTGACGGCACGGCAGGGAACGGTTGGCTTGCCCTCCAGTTTGTGGGGAAAATCAAGTAACGTCGAGCTCCTCAGATGGGGTGGGCCCTCCGGAGTCCGCCGAATGCCACGGGATTTCCATCTCCAGAAGGCTGACGGCCGCTACGAGCCTACGGCCCCAGGGGCACTTCCGTTATTTGGACCCTTCCTTCTCGGCGCCGCCCAGGGCGGTTTGCCGTTGTCGTCTAGTGCTGGGTTTTTGAAGGCAGAATTGCTAATGACTTTGACATCGAATTCAACTTCTCCGGTCTAGCCGTCACACCAACGGCCACAACTCCTCTTCAAACCAGCTACATAGGTATGAAATTACGTACTTTTGCCCGCAACCGGATCTAAGAGGAACACCCGTGGAGATTGTTTTACTGTCGTTCAACCATGTCTGCATGTTGTTCCCGTAAACCCGTTAACAGGAGGGGTTGCACGGCGTTGAAAGGCTGCGGGGTCGGACCGTCGCAAACGCCACAGACGGAGACTCGATTGACATCGTACGACGGCATGGCCCGAGCGCCATGTTTCCCATCAGCAACATATCCGTATCTATCAGCACAATGACCGTTCTTATCAGCATATCGATGGTTCTTTGTCAGGTCTCTGTCAAAATATGGAATCATCGCCAACGGTCGAAATCCGTTCAGTAGTAGAGGCTAGCTAACAGAGTCATATCCAGACCATTGAAGAAAGAGGGTATATGGGGTTTGGGTTTCACCAAGGTTTACTCTGTCTCAAGTGCTCAGTGTTCAGTGTAAAATCAATGGTTGAGTTGTCCTCCGACGGAAGGTTGGAGTATCAAGTCGCATTTTGAGTTCTTGCTCGTATCAAATTTGGATGAGTTATCAAGAGTCGACATCCAGTCCATCATTACCTTTCGATGAATCAGCACCGTCTTACATGTGGGCCACAGCCCTTTTCTCTTAACCTTTCAAATCTCCATAATCGTTCTTTGACGTCAGATTCCTGTCTGTTTATAGAGTGGATGGACGCAGGTTGTGCACTTTCACCTCCCCGTGATATGTCTTCTCTTTCAGGAGAAGGGATCCCCATCGGAAAGTGCAAACGCACACATAACCCTGAGACCATCTCATCAAAGAACAGCGATGCTTTGGACGTTAAGACACCAGAGCAAAAACATAGCAAAAGCTGTGGGAAGAATGCGGAGAATCCTGGTGCTGTATATAAAAGTTTCCCCAGCAAGCTGGAATGGGAGGTTTCAACGGAGAAAGAGCACAAAGAGGAAGCCAAGGTGTAAATACCCCTTTTGGGTTGACAGGTCTAGCCAGCCAGTGACTGTCAGGGTTATAGGCGTGGACACTGGGCTGAGTGGGGGCTGAACTGTTAGACGGGAGTGTGATTCATCTCTAGAATAGGGCCCAGTGCATTGACCAGGGAGGGCACCTTTTGCCCTGACCGAACATCCAGGACATTGCAATGACGGCGGTGCCCCCGTTCTTGTGATTGTGAGTGTGTCAAGTAGAGAGGATAGAGCAGCATCTACAGAAAGGTACCTCTCTACCGCAGTTAGCAATCTCCGACTACACGGCAGCCATTGAACCCAACCAACAGTTTACTACCTTGGACGACGCCAGCCAGCACATCCCGACGACGGGAGGCGCATGCGACCCCGCTCATCTACCTACTCTATCGCATCCCTCTACAGTAGTACCTTTAAACGTTCCGTTGGCAACTTGGGAGAAGCAACAACGAACCTGCAATTGTCCGCCAGCATGAGAGACGCGGAATAGCAAACCGACAGCCTACCTCTTAACAAAACCCGCGAAGACCGAGAGGAGAAGACCTGATCGACTACGAGAGCGACAAGCCCGAAAACACCACCAGCCTCTCCGGCCGGCCCCAGGTGGTCACCAATCCACAACTCCCCGGAGTCCCCCCTCGAGAACGCCCGCCGGGAATCGATGCGCAACAGGATACATAAGGCTCCCCCTCGACTGGCGAATCCGAGTCTGAATCCGAATCGAATGCCTGTGACGATAGCGAGCCCGGAAGCGGAAGCGTCCTGCGTGGAGGACAAATGGCTGGGCCATCCACCATGTTGAGCGCATCAGCAAACCCCCAGAACGCCAAATCCTACTCGTCGCAACAGCCCGGAACCTCACAGACTTCCCGAGTGAGCTTCGATCGCGATGGCTTGCAACCCCCGGGTCCCGCCCAGCAGCAGAATGGCGGTCGGAACCTCGCCGCCTCCGCCGTGAGCTTTGCCCCGCGCGGTACCGCTCTCAACCCGTCGCCCATGCCCGGCAGCTTCAGTTCCGACCTGCGGAGCCAGCTGAACCTCTCCCGTGCCGGGTCTCGCGCCGACATGTATTCCCTCGAGAAGCTGGACGAATATGTGGACGACACCCACGACCAGCCCCTGTCGCAGTTACGGGAGGAGTTGAACCGCGAGATGAAGATCAAGGAGGGAAGCGAGAACATGCTGGAAGCTCTGAATACCAAAAAGCCAAAGCAGGCCAAGGAACAGCGAGCGAGGATCGAGGCCGAGCTGAACTCGTCCACTCAGAAGATCAAGGAGTTGCGTCGCAAAATCACGGCTGCCCAGACCACCAAAGCAACACCAACCACGCCCGTCAGATCCAGAGCCACTGCCTTTCTTCAGGACTCGAATGGTGTGCGCTCCCCGCCGAGTGCTTCAAGGAGCGGTGCCGGTTCGGATTTTGACGAGCCGACCGAGTCACCCACATACGCCCTCACCGAGCTTCTCCAGGCCCTCGAGGTCGATGGCATGACCCCGGACTACTATGTTTCCAGGGCAAACAGCTTGGTCGATCTCTTCAAGCGTCATCCCACTCTCAAATACGACTTGGTGTGGTCCATTTTTGGCCTTCGCATGCAGGTCATGCTGATGAGCGAAAGTCGCGAAGTCGTTGCTGCGGGCTACAGGATGATACGATACGCCATCTCTGATATAGCGTCTCTCAGGCGAATCCGTGCCCTGAATACGGATTACCTGGTTACATGGTGCGTTCGCTTCTGTCAGTGTCCCTCTCGGCCGAAAACTAACCAAATTACACCAGGTCCTTGATCAAAGACCGTAAATCGGACGTCGAGCGTGAGCAGGCTCTTAAGTTTGTTCGCGCCTTTCTCGATGTCAAAGACGGCGTCAAGGAGATCTCGAGAGCAGTCGTCCGAACCATCGCCGCGATAGCTGAGGAGCCTGAGGAGCGGCTACGGTCAATCTGCATAGAGACTTTGGCCGAGGTTCTGATCCGCGATCCTGCCCTGCTGATATCTGCTGGAGGGCTGGCGCCACTGCGCGATGCCTTGGCCGATGGATCATACAAAGCCTCGGAGAGTTTGACAAGTGCTTTCCTTTACCTCTTGGATGCGCCACAACGACGCAAATACCTTTGCGCCGGAAACGAGTTGGAAATCCTCTTCACCGCCTTCACTGATGATCTCTCGACCAACGAGCGTATTCTCAAGCAGAACTCTAGGGCCGTCGCATCGGCACTCAAGACATGGTCGGGGCTGATGACCTTGTCCATGTACAACTTCCGTGCCGTCAAGTCCATGATCCACAGCATGGTCGTAAACACCGGACCAATACGAGAGACAATCCTCGATCTCCTCTACTCGTTATTTCGTATCAAGTCCCCGGCGTGGGCCACCTCCTTTTTAGCTGGCAGGCGACTCACCACTTATGGCAGAGTTACAAATCTCAGGTCAACGTCCACTAAAGGATCACATGGCGACTTTGATGACGACGGTGGTGAGCAGAACTTTGCCGAGCACTATACAGCACTATTGCTGGCCATCTTCGTCAAGTCTGGCGTGGTACAAGGCCTCCTAAGGCTCACCCAGGACCTTGAAAATCCGCCTATCAAGCGGAAGGCAACTCTCCTCATAGGAGAGGTTCTCAAGCTCGCAAGCCGCCTTCTCCCACCGTCTTTGAGTAGTGGTCTGCAGATGCTGCCAGAACTGTTCAGCGCTGCCGCCAATCTTCAAGATGAGAACCATTTCATTGCTACTGGAGTAGTATATCAAATAAGCAGCGTCAGCAAGACGCTCTACAGATCATCGCCAACGACATACACCCCTTCGGTGGCACCATCAAGTAACGCCTTGGATTTGGGGATACTTGATGACCATCCCAAAAGCAACATAGCTATCACATTTGATGATGCAACATTCCGACAACTACTCGTTGATTCACACGTCCTAAGCAGCTCCAACTATGCCAAATGGAATTGGGACATAATACTGAGAGTAATCGAAGGGCCCCTCACAAGCGGAAAGCGACTGGAAGAGGCCATAAAGGCATCCAAATTCATAAAGCGGATCATGAGCTTTTACCGCCCATTTAAGTACCGGTTCTCGGAGGTCAAGAGCACAAGAAACACGCAAAAGTACGTCAGA